GGAATACTGAGGCCTTTTGCATGCCAATTAATGCAGGCATCCCTTTCTGTTTGTTCAAATCTGGATCCTTTGCTCAAGTGCAGTACTTAAATGAGCCATCTTGTTTAACTGGAATGTTCCAATAATGACCATCGTGATTCTATCTAGGTTATTAGTAAACACTTTTTTTTTTTTTGTCTTTCTAGATATATGCAGCTCTGGCATTATACAATAACTCTTAAACATAAAACAAGCAGGTGTGCCGGAAGGTGGTGTGCTCAACTCTTTGGATATAAAGAAACTCATTTCTTTAGCTAGGCCTTTGGATTTCCTGGAGCCAAACTAATACCTAAGAGGACCTATCATGGGAGTCTTCTTGAGGTGAAGAGAGCTCTAACAACCTTTACATGCTCAACCTGTGCTCACCAGTTTGCAGCTTTTTAAAAAATATTTCCGAGATCCCCATTGGCAACTAACCTTATTTAAAATAAATTTTTATTTCCCTGACGTCTCCCACTGGACTATATCTGACCAGTCCCCGGTTTACAAGTTGGACTCAATCTAACGCCAGGTGGTAACTGTTAGGGTCGCCGAAGGAGGAATGTACGAGGCCCAAGTGGTAAGGGATTATAAATTTATTAGGTCATCTGGATACCAGATGGGCTGAGCCCCCAAATGGCGCCAGTACCCGAGGACAGGGAGTCAGAGATTTTAAAGGACTCTAGGATGGCCTTTCCTGCACGGAGCATTCCTTGGGCAGGTGTGAATCCAAGGAAGGTCTGGAGGGGAAGGATGATGGTCTTAGCAAGTGGAATGTGGTCTTGGCGAAATGGAATGTGGTCTAAGGAAAGGGAATGTCTGTTGTGAAGTGACCTAAAGGTCAGTTCCCAAGAGAGGAGGTGTCGATTCAATTATCTGATCAAACCTAACAGTGACTATCAACAATTCTCAACAGGGAAGATGCTGTACTAGCTTTTAATCTACACAAAATAAAACGTACAAACGTGAACTTTAACAAACGAGCAGTAACCAAAGAAGTGTCACGATGGACTGACCAATAGAAGGCTGTGCACACTATCAGCAATTCCCAGTATGTACTACACCAGCAGACCCCTGTGAATAGGGACTGCAGACTGGAGCTGGGGAAAGGACTAAACCAGCAACCTCCAGTGAATGGGGACTGCAGACTGGAACTGGGGAAAGGACTAAACCAGCAACCTCCAGTGAATGGGGGCTGCAGACTGGAACTGGCAGGAAGGAATTTCAAACAACTGGGGAACTGTGGACTGAACTAAAGGCTTTAAAAAAAAGTGTGTTCTGGGTGAAACTGTCTGCAAGCTCGAACTGACCTCCTAATCTGTGGATTGGACAGCCAATTAGATCAAGAGCTCAGTGCAAACAGCAGGAGTTCAGAACACCTAGGGCCCTCAGAAACAGCAAGACAAGAGAATTCAAAAAAGTTCTTGGGCACCACACCTGTTTTTTTGCTGCCCCCAAATGCTATCAGAACTTCCCTTCAAATCCCACCATTACTGTCACCAAATCTGTTGAACAAAAATTCAAACAAGCAAATTTAAAGATCTAATTGGGTTGAAAAAGGTAGCAGGTTACCTCACTAACGTAGGTAAATCAGACTGGTTTAAGGTCACATTCCTGGGAGGGGCTGAAAACAATTAAGTTTAGGTTTGTTGTGGGGTGGGGGTGGGGCAAGTGATACCACCTTGTTTCTTTTTAACAATTGGGAAGAGAGAAGAACATCTGGTTAAACTTGCAGCGGTTTTCAACCTGTGGGTCGAGACCCCTTTGGTGGTCGAACGACCCTTTCACAGCGCTCATCTAAGATCATCCTGCATATCAGATATTTACATTATGATTCATAGCAGTAGAAACATTACAGTTATGAAGTAGCAACGAAAATAATTTTATGGTTGGGTCACAACATGAGGAACTGTATTTAAAGGGCCAGAAGGTTGAGAACCACTAGGTTAAAGGATGCAGCTTTCTCACAGTCTTGTTGATAACTAACTGGCTCTCCCATCCCCATTTCCTTGATGTCAGTGTTTTAAACCAAATAACTTGTTCCTCCAGGCTAAATGATGACCCTACCCAAGGGAAATAATCCATAGGATGGATAATAACTTGTGGGTAATAAGGACTATGACCTATCTTCTGGCCTCCAATCACCTGCAGATACTTCCCACTGCCTGAACCCATGGAGAGACAAAGGAGGGTCAGGGATCTATTACTACAATCTAACGGTCAGCCTTCCCTGGCACAAAGGCAGGAAAATGGTGGAGTAGATGTGGAGGAGCAAAGAGAAGACAGGTGAAGTTGTTTCCAAGAGGCAGCTATGTGGAAGCAGTCATTAATATATGTTTAAAAGATGGGCAAGTAGCCAAATTCCTTCACCGACATTATAGGCACTGCCCTACAGTGAAGATCGCAAACTCCTACTGCTGAGCTCTTTTTAGACCCCTTGAGAACACATTTACCCTCAAGTTCGTCTCCCTCTTTGAGCACAACCTATTTCCAAGAAAGTCCTCCCGTGTTTCTTCAATAAAGTACCTTTATGATTTTTCACTTTAATAATAAAAAAAGCAAAGAGGAAAACAACTGTTAAAGTGAAAACATCAGTCTCAAAATGGTGTCACCTGTGCTAAAATCCCATGATACCAAGCCTAGATTAAATATCTGCTCTGCCTGGCCTGCATGGCTCAGTGGTTAAGAATGAAGCATTGACCTATGGACCAGGAGGTCACGGTTCCATTCCTGGTCAGGGCATATGCCCGGTTTGTGGGCTCAATCCCTATGTGGGGCGTGTAGGAGACAGCCGATCAATGATCTCTCTCATCATTGATGTTTCTATTTCTCTCTCCTTTTCCCTTCCTCTCTGAAATCAATAAAAACATATTTTTAAAAAATCTGATCTACTTGCAGTTTCAAACTCGACCAGACTCACAATCTTAATCAACCTTGTCTGGAATTTTCTGGTCAATTCCTATGAGGTAATCTCCATAGAAGGAAGAATCTATCTGCATGATAAAAACCCTCCTTCAAAAAAGATGGCCTGGCCCATTTCTTTTGTTAATCCATTCCTTGCCCCACCTTTCGAGGCTCAACCACCGAGTCAATGCCCGCAGGGCCCACGTAACAGTTCTCTCACTGAATCAACCTTAAACCCATATATACCGAATAACCATGTTTCTGTGAATGACTGACCACATATATGAAGGTGGCCCCATAAGAGTATAATGGAACTGAGACATTCCTATCACCCAGTGATTTCGTACCATCATAATTCCATAGCGCAACACATTACTCACGTGCTTGTGGTCATGCTGGTGTAAACAAACCTACTGCACTGCCAGTAGCAGATACAATGATGTACAATACTTAATACTTGATAATAAATGAGTATGTTACTGGTTTATGTATTTACTATACTGTATTTTATTTAGAGTGTATTCTAAGCAATATACATTATACCACACAGCTTAGGTGTGTAAGTACACTATGATGTTCATAAAATGAAGAAATTGCCAATGACACGTTTCTCATAATCTCCATCGTTAAGCAGCTATAGTTAAATAGCTACAGGTCAAATAGAATTGTGTTCTCTGAGTCTCATCAAGTGTGAATGTATTGATAGGCTTTTGGAAAAGAGAGTCAGGCATTACCTAGCAGGACTCCCAAAGGCTGATTAGAAGGAAGAGCAGCTGGTTTCTAGTTAAAAACACAAAGCTTCACCAATAAAGGGGTTAGTAAAGAGGGCACCCCTCTGGGACTGTGGGTGCAAATAAAATCCCTGTTTAACTAGAAATGGATTTAGGAGATTGCTTAGGTCAGATAAATTGGGCACTAGCTATATATATATATACACACATATATATATACATATATATACACATATACATATATATACACACATATACATATATATATAAAACAGGAAAGGCTTTATTTATAGCTGTTGTAATATTTGCATAGCTGATTATCTTTAGGAAGTGAGACTCCCGAGAGGGGAGTCCTGTACACATTGTCTAGTGTGACAGCCTTCAGGCGGAGCCCATTTTCAGCAACCTTGCGCCCCGAACGTGGACGTTCTTAACTCCTAAGTGCACTTCACGTGAAACCAATGTCATCACTCGTTGATTTAAGTGGCAATTAGAAGGTCTTATCGGATTTTAAAAATCAAAACATGTATCCATTCCTGGGAAAAACATTTGGGGCATCGTTAGTTTGTAAGCAAGTGTTTTCTTTACAAATGAAAGGAAACAAGTAATTTTAAGAGCAATATTAACTTTTGTTTCACCCAAGAGCCAGCCCTTTCCATTTCGTGGGTTGGACTTGGGGCAGGGAAGCACACTCAACGAGCTGCCTGGGCAAAGGTTCCCTAGCACCTACAGGCTGCACTGTGTTCATTTTGGGCGAGGCTCAAGATCCCAGGTGGCCGCGGTGCCCCAAAGCGCCAGGGGGTGGGGGGTGGGGGGGGGAGGCGACGGGGCTTTTCTTCACGTGGCGAGGCGACCGGCGTCGGGACAGTGCGGCCCGGTCCGGGGCCCCCGCTCACTCGGGAGAGGCCCAAGTTGGGCGGCCGAGACCACCGGGCCTCGCCTCGGGACGACACGGCCTCGGCGTCGGGGCAAAGCTCCGCCGGGTCCCACGTGCGCAGCCCGCCCCGCCCGGCCCCGCCCCCCCACGCCCGCCGGCCCGCCGGCCATCGAGCCCGCCCCGAGTCACAGAGGCCGGGTGCGCGCCCCGCCCAGGCGCCCGCAGCCCGGGCGGCCTGAGCCCGGGAGCCGGGAATCGCCCAGTTCGTCCTCCCTCCCCCTCGGCGGGCCGCTGGGGCGGGACCGGCCCTCGGGGCGGGCACGTCAGTCAGCCTCCGGGGGCGGCGGCCGGCGGCCGGGCGAGGGCCGAGGCCGGCGAGTAGCCACGTCACGCTCCTCCCGGAGGCTCCGCCCCCGGCCCCGCCGTCCCCACCCCCCAGGACCGCCCCCTCACGCCCCGCGAGCAGTTACCGGCTGTTCGGGCGCGTGCGGCCGGCACTCCGCTAGAGGTCCTCCAGCCGGCGGCTGCGTTCGCTCGCTGCCCGCGACAGGTGACGGCTGGCGGCCGGCGGCTCGCGGCTGCGGCGCCCGGCGCGGGTTGGCTGGCTCGGGCGTGCGTCGCTGAGGCGGCCGGAGCCAACGGGCGGTTAGCGCTCCGTTCTACGCGGGAGGGGCGGCACCCCGGGCGCTGCACGGCCTCGGCCGACGCGGGCGGCGACGGCGGCGGCGACGGCGGCCGGGCTCTCGGGCTCTGTGCCCCCGGCCGGAGCCAGTGGGTGCCCCGGCGGAGAGACGGGCAGCCGGACTCCCTGGCCCCGGCCTCCCTGGCCCCGGGCCTCCCGCGGCTGGGGCGGCTGGGGCAAGGGGACCATGTCTGCTCGCGCTCCGGTGCCTGCCGCTCACTCTCGGGAAGAGCCGCCCGCGGCGGCTGCTGAGAAGGAGTCGCCGTCGCCCGGGGTGAGCCGGCAGGCCGAGCAGCTGCCCGCGCCCGAACAGGAGGGCAAGCAGGCGGCGAAGGAGGAGCGGGCCGCCGCCGCTGCCGCCACCGCCACCGCCACCAGCGCGGGGGCGCGGGGAGAGCCGTCGCCGGCGCCGGTGCTGGGTCACAGCGTGCCCCAGGCGGCCGTGCCCGTGAGGCCTCTGGCGCTGCACCTGGCGCACCGGGCGCGCGTGCCGCCGGGGGGCCCCTTCGGCGGGGAGCCGCTGCCGCCGCCGCCGCCGCCGCGGGACCCGCCGGCCGAGGACGCCCGGGAGGAGGAGGCGACGGCCGGCTCCGAAGAAAAGCCACCGCTGCCGCCGCCGCCGCCGCCGCCGAAGGAGAACCCTTGGACCAAAAAGCCGCCTCAGCACCTGTCCCCTACCGGGTCGGAGCCGCCGCCGCCCCCGCTGGACTCCCTGGAAGCAGGTCGGTGGCTCCTGCGGCGGGCACCGGGGGGTGTGTTTGGGGCGACTCGCGTGGCTACCGGGGCGGGCGGGGGAGGGGCCGGCGCCTTTCGCTGTCAGTCCGAGGTCCTCTGTGCCAAGGTGCCATTCACTCTGCCTGTTGACATAAATGGACATGGACGCGAGCGGCCGCGAGAGGTGGGACCTCGGCGTCTCCTTGACCGGCGGGCGGGCGGGCGCGGCCCCGCCGGTGTTGCCCCCACGTGGGAAGGGGCTCGGGGAAGCTGGGTTTAGGCGGCGACTGCGGTACACCCCGGAGGGAAGTGTTCGTGGGCGTCTTAGAACGAGGCGAAGCTAGGGGATGTATATGTGGAAGCGCGGCCGTGCTTGATTTTTATTTATCGTGAAATAATGGGTCAACTGGGCATGTCAGTGTTTTCAGAACACTGCGTAGTCGGATGCAAAACGAGGCTCTGGCCGCTACTAGCATGTTTTGGGTTATGATTGGGTGGGAAAGGACTGGAGGAGGAGAGTTGACAGGAGAGAGGATCGCACGGTAGGGAAATGGTCGTCTTCCAGCTGCCCTTGAATGCTGACCAGTGGCCTCGGGTACTTTATTTTGATGGTAGCAGCTGCATCTTTGTTTAAAAGTTTAAATGGAAATAGTAAAAACTAAGCCAAAAAACCCCCAAACCTTTGTAAATTAACTTGTAAATCAATTGAACTTTTTTTTTCAGTTGAACTTTTAACAGACATTACAGATCTTTTTCTTAAAATTAAAGGTTAGCAGTGGGATAGGGAAATATGGGGCATGTTTATAGATCCGTGGAGATCAGTTGAAATAAAGTGTATGGTGGAAATGTAATTATTGTAGACGGGCATTGTAGTATTGTAGATATAAAGCATTTCTTCAGAAGAACTACAACAGTTAGTTGATTTCCTTAGCTTTTGCACAGTAATGTTCATCATTAATAAATTACGACTTGGAGAAAAACTACTTAAAATTTTGTTTTAAATTTAATATTGCAATCATTCTCTACAGTTGCAATGATCTATTTGTTTACTACTATTCTAGCTGAAGAGAGCAAAAATCTTAAAGCAAAATGTCCATACAATTAGCTAAGAGAAAAAAGCCCTAGTGAATCCTTATGGTTATTTCATCTCCCTACTTACTAGACTTACAATATACATTATATTCAGTGAACTATCAAAAAGCCCAAATTCTTTGTTGACTATAAAATCAGTTTGACGGGTTTTTTAATCATTAAGGTAAGACAGGAATTTTAATTGAAAATGGCCATGTGAAAAATATTTAACAGTTTAGTATAATTAATTAACCTACAGGTGCTTTCATTGAGTATCTTAATCTTTGTTGGGGATTAAGAACAAGCTGATGCTTGTTGTATGGTGTGGTTGATGGGAATTTCAATTTTGCTGGTGTCTCTCTGTAGGCAACTATTTTCTTGCAATCCATTCTATTCCTGTAGAAATTCTATTCTGCAAACTTATCTCTCTAATCCTGTCCCTACACTGTTTTACCACAATTTTTATTTGTAGTTGGAAACTTAGGAAATATAAATAAGAGAATGGTGTGGAAATGCACTGTAAGAAAGACTTAGGGTTTTAGTCCAGATGTTGTTACTATCTAGCTAGACTTTTGGCAAGATTTGTGGGCCTTATAAATGAATGAAGTGGATATATTAATCTCTTCTGGTTTCTAATACCAGAGTGTCATCTATATATAACTGGATAGTCTTGGCCTCCTATTTTCCTAAGCAGATTTACAACTTCAGGAATAATAAAATAGCTGCAGAGGACCTTTAGTGTACAGAGTAGGTGAAAACTAAGGAGTGTTAAATTAAAACAATAATCTATTAATAGGCCTGTAGGATATTAATTATGCTTGGATAACAAACTTAAACCATGTCTGCCATGGCCAAACCTGGATTTACAGTCACTCTCTTAATGAGGTATGAGGATTCCATCCCAACATACTGCAAGAAATTTTATTACCAGAGATAGAAACATTATAGCAAATGTAGGCTAGTATTTCAGGATTGTTAATCATGAATTTTCTCTGATAGGAACTACAGGTGAGGCATTATTGTTCCTTCAGACACTTCTATTTTGGGATCTAGCCTGTATATTGTTGTTTCTGGTAATCCAGATAAGTACCTCTTTTCAACCAAAGCCTGGCCCACCCAGAAGTCCTAAAATAGTGTCAATGCACTTTTGAATTCATTTAGGAAACCAAAAAGAATTAATTCCTCAGTCTCTCCTAACCTTGTTTAAAGTAGTTTTATTTATTTTGGGGACTTTTATTAAAATCACAGTATGGGGTTTATTAATCACTTGTAGCCATGGTTATAGTTTACATACTAAAATATCAGCTTTCTAGCCCTGGCCAGTGTGGCTTAGTTGGTTGAGTGTCATCCCATGCACCATGAGGTCGCTGGTTCACTTCCCAGGCAGGGCACATGCCCAGAGTTCCTGGCTTGATCCCCAGTGAGAGGGTATGCAGAAGGTAGGTGCAGAATTAGTGATACTTCTCCCTGCTCCTATCTCCACCCCTCCAGGTTCTCAACACTCTGTTGCCTGTGTCCATGGGCTATGCATATAAGTTCTTTGGTTTATCTTATTTCTAAAAGTTTTACATTTTATGTAGATGTACCATAATATAACTTTTCCATATTAATGAATGCAGGTTACTTATTTAAATATTTTTTTTTTTACTGTATAAGCTGCAGTGACCATCTTACACAGCATCTCTATATCTTGTCTTGATTCCAACAGAATTTTCCAGAAATAAAATTGTTTTATTAAAAGGTATATTTTCTTCTCTCTATATAAAAGGCTAATATGCCAAGTGTCCCCTCCGGAGTTCAACCAGGAGACTGGGAGTTCGATCACTCTCTATGACATGCACTGACCACCAGGGGGAGGAGCAGAATGAAGGAAGGCCCTGGTCGGCAGCTGGAAGGCCCTGATCAGCCCTGATCGCCAGCCAGGCCTAGGGACCCTACCCATGCACCAATTTTGTGCACCGGGCCTCTAGTACTATATATATATATATATATATATATATATATATATATATATACACACACACACACACATATACACACATATACATATATATGTGTGTGTGTATGTATATATATATGTGTGTGTGTGTGTGTATATATATATATATATATATATATATATATATATATGACATTTTTATTGACTTCAGAGAGGAAGGGAAAGGGAGAAACATCAATGATGAGAGAGAATCATTGATTGGCTGCCTCCTGCATGACTGGGGACAGAGCCTACAACTCCAGTATCTGCCCAGACTGGGAATCGAACTGTGATCTCCTGGTGCATAGGAGCCATACTGGCTGGGGAAAAGGTATATACTATATTTTAAGTGACAGTTTATCATTAAAAGATTATACTACTACACACTCTTGCCAACAACTTGAGGGAAATGTCCATTTCTGTATAGGCTGACCAGCACTTGGCATTCTTTTTTTTTTTGGCCAGTATGATAGGTGAAAAAATGTTTTGTTGTTTTAGTGCATTTATTTATTAGTGTAATTGAGTACCATTTCATGTTTGACCATTTGTATTTCTTTTTGGATCACTCAGATTCTTTGTTGTTGTAATTTTACTACTTAATTTACTTGACTTAGCACTATTTTGGGACATGTTTTTAATTTTCCTGTGGGAAATGTTCCCCAAATGTACTATATTATATAACTTCATAAAACATAGTATTTATAAAACATGCTTCAGTGAAATTGTAGATAATGTTCAGGCAAATATGATTTTTTGGTTTTTTTTCTACCCCCATTTTTTTTTGTTCTACTTGCCCATTTTTTTTACCACTCTGTATAATTTTTTTATTTTATTCTTATGCATATTTACACATGTCTACACATATATGTGTGCCTAAAGTATAAAGAAGAATAAAACAAATACTTGTGTATTCACTATTCTGCTTTATTATTTTTTTTAAATATTTATTTCATAGAGGAAAGGAGAAGGAGAGAGAGAGAAACATCAATGATGAAGAGAGAATCATTGGCTGCCTCCTGCATACCCCACACTGGGGATGGAGCCTGCAACCCAGGCATGTGCCCTTGACCAGAATGGAACCTGGGACCCCTCAGTCCACAGGCCAGCGTTCTATCCACTGAGCCAAATCAGG